AGAAACAAAGGCAACAGGCCAACTGCATAGTGGCATGCACCGTGCCCACCACCACCAAACCGTCTCAGAGCTGACCAACACAAGCCATAAGCTTCAATCAGCCCTCTCGACGCACGTGAATAACACTAACTCCTAAGTAATGAAAGCCCTTCTCTACTAAGTCTAAAGTGCTATTCTTACTTTGGTCAAGCCCTACAGTATTATTTCTTCCAGGAGATAAGAAGAGTCCTTCATACCTGTAAATTCCTCTTAAAAATAATGTTCCTATAAAACCAGTATTGGGAAAAAGCAAATAAGCTTAAAATTACTCACTTGTAATAAGATAGATTGATTTTTATTCCTTGACAATAGAAAACTATCCTCAGAATTATCTTACAGTGGTTGACATTTTGTGACCACAAAAGAGAACACCACATCAGACAAGTAGGGATTCTAAGCACCCCCCCCAAAAAAAAGAAGAAAGAAAGAAAGCAATTAATATTTAAGAGCAGACAGTGAACATACATGTGAAGCTCACACTATGTACTTACATATACTAAATTAACCTTGTAACTGGGCACCATGACTCAACAGCTCTAGACTAACAATGGACCCAGTTACTCAAAGTAAGATAGGCTCTCCCTTCAGCCTAAAGGGACTGGGGGTGTTTCAGTCTGTTATCCAGGAGAGCAACTGCAGCTGGCGAGTCTGGAGAAGCATTCACTGCATCTGCAGCTTAACTGGAAGTCAAGCGACGACGGCACACTGAAAAATGACAGAAAAACTGGAGGTATTCAAATTCCATCCTTTGAGAGCCATTTCAATTAGTGCCTTTTGAAGAAGCAAATCCGTCCAAATACAAAAGATTTACACCCACTAAAACTGAAAAAACACTGGTCACCGTATTTGTCATTTCATCGAATTCTGCCACGTGATATGTGTAACACTATTCAGTACCACAGGACTGTGCTCATTTCTTTACCATATTAATTCTGTATTTTCCAAAACTTCTTATCTTCGTCAGTGGTTTCTAGAAGGAATGCCTATAATCTCCAAGTACATAAATTCCCAGCCAAATGTTTCACCATTGTCTTTCCGTATTCTATAATTTATCCCCAAACTGAGTTCCATACTTAAGAAAATGATCTATTTCTTATGCTTTTAAAGTCCAAATGAAATTGTGCCTGAACTTACAACTAACCCTTGAGAATCAAAGTCAATAGAGTAGATTCAAAAAAAAAAAAAATCTAACCTCATTTTAATCTTCTAAAGCAACTTCCAAAACACATTTAATGGAACCTGGGAGACCACTGGAGAAATCCAAATACTAGTAATAAAGTCAGAGGCTCTGGTCACACTTCAGATAATGACACAACAAAGTCCTGCAACTTTGAGATCTTGAATTGAAAAGAAGCTTATATACAAAAAGTCCTTATAACTCCACCAAGGAAAAAAAAAAAAAAAAGCTAGCCAAAATATAGCCTTGAATTGTGCAACTAGTCTCCTATTTCTCCTTATAAAATATACTGGCAAAGACCAACAAACCCACACTGTTACAAAGAAACCCATCCCCACATTCCATGGCTTCAGGGCTATTCCCATAAACATAGGGTCATAAAAAGTGTCCAGCAAACTCCAGCAGCAACAATCCATTTTAAAGAGAAAACTGAAGACAATGACAATAACCTGCTTTTGTCACAATCTGAGCACCGCTTAGAAAGTTCAGCAGAAACTGTTAAGCCTACCTTAGAAACCCACCCATAAAATATTACACGATACAGATGATGAACAAAGTTCAGTGAAATGCTAAGTTTTTAGTTTCTATTCTTTATTAACCCGGTCAGGTCAGCATATTTTTATACACTAGGACAACAAAACTTCAAGGAAATGGAATGCTCAAGTCCGTTCTAAGAAATGAAAATGGCCCTTCAGAGCTCATCACATCTCATCACAGGAAAAACTGTATGCTTCTGAATTCTACAAATAAAGATGTACAAGCCTCTGGATTTCTCTTCTACTTTTTCCTTTTTCAATTTTAACATATGTGAGGTATTTAATGTTTCAATCCCCTGAATACCTTTCCTTTCCATTACATATCATTACAAAAGACAACACTTGAGAGGTTTTAATGCACTAAACCTTGCTCATTTTTCATATGCATCATTACATGGGAGAATCATTAGATTACACATTTTAAGGCACACTGTTGGGTTTTAACTGCTTCTTAATACTATTAAACAACCTCATGATCACTGAAAAAAACTCCAGCAATTCTACATTAAAAAAAAAAACAACGTCCAGTCCAGAATGAATTGCATGCCCCACTGCACAGGCCCAAAAAGGTCACAGGAGATGGCAGACACTTTTGTAAGAGAACAGAAATAACTCAGCAGCTTTGTTATCGTGGTTGCTTTTAATCAGTATGTTCAAATCCTTTAATTAGCACTCTGTCTACACAGGGAAAGCATTTCTGTGCCAGGGAAGGGCATGTATGGAGGTATGCAGTGTTCCCTGTGTTAGCATCACAACTTGGAGCTAGCATCGAATACTGTCTGCCAGGGAACTGAAGCACATAAAACTCTGTAAAGTCTTGGCACCACACCACAGATATGTATGCTTTACATCTTTAGTAATCAACAGCAAGGCAAATGATAGTTTGTTTATTTCCCTCGGGTACCAATTCTTTTCTGAACCTTTTCTCAGCAAAGCTTGAAATGTTTTAAACTAAGGGTGGTGAGATACCTTAGTAGGAAAAGGCACTTGAGCTCAGGCCCAGGAACTCACAGGTGCAAAGAGAGAAGAATGCCCTGCACGTTGTACTCTGACTTGTACCCTGTACCCTGGCAAGTTTGTGCACACAAAGGAGCAAAAGTACTCAATGCATGCATGCATGTGCACGTGTGCAGGCACATACACAGGAGTAAAGAATAAATACTGTAAGAAGCTTTCAAACTAAACAATGTTCTCCAGCAAATTAAAACAGCAAGTGAAAAGTTAATGTAAGATAACTTAAGATAAACCCATAGTATTTCACCCTCATCACAGATCTCCAATATGGAAGTACTACCTCACGTGACTAAACATGTGAATCCTAACACAACACATTCACATGGCTACTTCACATTTAAAATTAAGCACAAAGTCTTAGCACTTACATATTACAGTATGTAAATACACTTTCCTGAAGTATATTATCAACTAGAATCTAGAAAAATATCTGCAACGAGTTAAAGATACACTATTTGTTAATTCGCTGCCACGAAACAATGTATCTCCATTAGTTAGGAAGGGATATTTAATATCTGTAATAAGCTGGGGGCACTAACCTTTCTTAAATATTCAAAATCAAGCAGAATTTCATGTATGCACTGAGACAAAATATATACAAAAATATTTACATATTTAATATATATAAGCAGATGTAACTGAAGAATATCAGAGTCAGGCCTGGTAGTAAATACCTATAATCCCAATATTCGGGAAGTTGAGAAGGAGGATCAACTATTGAGGCCTGCTACAGCATGACACCATCCCAAAAGTCAAAAAACAAACAAACAAACAAACAAAAAAAGAAAACAGAAGAAGCAAAGAAGGAAAGGAAGGAAGGGAGAGACAGACATCAAGGAAGAGATACAAGGAGGGATGGAGGGAAAAAGGGAGATAGGGAGAGTGGTGACTCTAAGAAAACTAATAAGCAGAAAAGCAAGGTATGGGAACTATGTACAATATGCTAGTATTTTAACAAATAAAGTTCATATTTATAAGAATATGCAACAAATCTCTACAAAGTTATGCAAGTAGAAGGCTGGGAAGATGACTCAGTGGGTAAAAACGCTTGCTCTGCAAGCTGAAGGACGAGAGTTTGAATCCCCAGCACCCATATAAAAAGCATGGCTGTGTCAGTGGGCAGAGAAAGGCAGATCCCAAGAGAGCTCGCTGACCAACCAGCCTAGTCCATGGTGAACTTCTGGTTCAGTGAGTCCCTATCTCAAAACCGTAAGGCAGTGATGGAGGCAGATACCCAATTTCCTGTCTGGCCTGTCCAGAGTGTGCACATGGACATACATACATACAAATACATACACAAAGGAAGTTATGCAAATATAATAATTACCTATTGGTGAGTGAAACTGTGCCTGACATAATCTCAATGAGTAAAAATGGTAATTATTCCTTTCCTGGAATCACCAAGACATTCTAAGCCCAGACATATGGTACACACCTCTACTCAGCACTCAGGAGGTGGAGGCAGGTATATCTCTGTAAATTCAAGGCCAGCCTGGTCTACAAAGCAAGGTCCAGGCAATCCAGGGCTACACAGTGAGTCTCAACCAGTCTCTCTCCTGACTCCTCTCACTCCTTTTCCTTCTCCCTCTCTCCATTGTCTACACACACACACACACACACACACACACACACACACACACACACACACACACACACACACACTCTGCATTCAACTAAATCCCAATGAGGTGAAAAGTCAAATCCCAACTATTCATAGGCTGACAATCTAGCTGGAGATCCACACCCTTCATGCTCTCCACAGATCTAAGTAGTTTTTTTCCATCTTACTCATAACTATTACCTCCACCAGAATATGAGGTGAGGAAACAATACCAAAATCAGTCATGACCACTAGTGTTAACGGACAGTTTTTGGGACTGAAAGGAGCCATTAAAACTGGATAGTACAATGCCATAAAAGTACTTCTGAAGAAACAACTAAAGCCCAGAGAATTTCCCAAACAAGGGGCAATTCAAAACCTTAGAGTTGACTCCTTGGTTAGATGTTTTCTGTTTTAGCTTTGTTAACATCAGAGAAAATGAAAATAAGCGGAACTGAACTAAAACTGCCCTTGTTAAGTACCGTACCGTCTCTCTGCATCTTGATTAGATAGCCAAACCTGGTAGGAGGAAAACAGCTCCCACAACTGTTGTAAGTGGAGCACACAACAGAGAATTCAACAGTGACTAAACAGTGAACAAATGTTTGTAGTAACATCTGCAAAGGTTGCTTACACTCGAGATTGTCAGGGGCATGTTGAAATCCTTGCCACCTTGGAGACGGAAACCCCAAGGAGCTGGGCCGACCAATGACACAGTGTAGTTGCTCATGGTTCCAGGGATTCAATGTGCAGTTCCACAAAAAAGAGAGAAACTATAAAAGAAAATTAGATGGTTAATAAAAATATTTATTAGAAACCAAATTACATATATCAATGCACTATCTCTCAAGCCAACAAAACTGTTCAGTATTTTGGGGTGGGATATAACACAGGTTATATCCAGCAAATTCCTGATTAATTTCAGCTGAGGAAAAGGAATTGAGCTAACTAACACTCAACTTTATTCTCATGTCAATTCCCTATCAGAATGCACTTTTAGACATCTGTCCAGATTTACAAATTGCAAAACCAAATTTGTGGAGTCTCATATACAAACTTGAATATTTTGTTGGAGGAATGGCATGCCCAGACCAGGATTTGATTTCAATTGTAAGTCAATGTGATTTTCGTATTCCCTCCATCTTGTGCATCCTTTTTTACTGTAATCAACAGGAACACTTTAATCTTACTGCAGCTATGTGAACATATCAAAGGGACTGCAGATCAGTCGGTTCTGTTTATGTTTTCTAAATAGCAAATCATTTAAAACTGAGATGAGCACTAACTTCTAATTAAGAAGTGTTTTCCACAGTTAAGGGAATTTAAAGTTGCTTCATTCTCAGTGTGTTAGGATATCTACATGTGATTCTGAATTTGGTGTAATGGAGTAGAAATTTCAGTGTGTTTTAAAAAGTGGAAAAGTGCTGGGCAGTGGTACATGCCTTTAATCCCAGCACTTGGGAGGCAGAGGCAGGTGCATTTCTGCGAGTTCGAGACCAGCCTGGTCCACTAGGCTACACAGAGAAACCTTGTCTTGAAAAATCGGGGAAAAAAAAAGTGGAAAAAGTATATTAAAGTATATTAAAGCAGGAAAAATAAGGTTGCTGATTTAACAGTTCAAATTTTCTTAGAAGTATGATGTATGTCTAATATTGGGGTGTTTTGTTGTTATTGTTTTATGTCTGTTTGTTTGCTTCTGGGACTGAGAATTGAACCTAAGGCCTTATTGTTCCTTATTATAGGCAATGCTAGGCTATATTCTAGAACAGGTGGTATTTTAGTCTGAATCTTTGTTTTCTTTTATACTCATAGATCATCCAACAAAGCACAGAGTAAGCCTCCCAAGACAGTAAATGAGGCGACTCCAGGGTAGCTCTTTTAAAATTTACCTGAGTGTTCTATTGGTAATTAGAAGGCATTTGGGAAGAATGAGAGTTGTGCCCTCTTAAAAAAAAAAAAAAAAAAAAAAAAAAAAAAAAAAGGACATACAGTTCTTCCATTTAAATTATATGGTATGTGTATGATTTCATAAACTTTGAAGACACTTGTCAAAACAAAGCTCTGAGGGATGGAAATGTAGCTCAATGGTAGAGGGCTTGCCTAGCATTTATGAGACCTTAGGTCCAATTCCCAAGGCAAAAGCAAACAAGAACATATTTCAGACCTCCTCAGAAAATCTGAACTGCTAAGTCAGCCACCTTGATACACATTTTAAATCCACTCAAAGGTCTAGCCATCAGAACAAGTTCAGCAGCACAGGTACCACCCAGGAGAGGGCAAATGATGCAACACTTCAAAGGAAACCTAGTTCCTAAGGAAAAATGACTTCAGGGATAATGCACACTGTGGAACTCTTCAGATGGAACGGGAGTGCTGGCACAGTGACATTACTTTGGTACTGCAGTAGTAAGCAAAGACCATTCAAAAAGACCGAAAGGACGCCGGAAGCCAGACTGTTAAACTGCAGGTGAAAACCAAAATGGTAGGGAGTGAATAACATGCCACCCAAAATCGCCTTCCCCGTTATAAAAAGGTCTCTGCAGGACCCGTAGAGAAAGGCCAGCAGAGGCAGTCTTGATATTGGCATACAGTTCAAATAAATCCGTAAGCCAACTGACACTTCACAGGCCACGGTCGCTCCTTTTTTAATCTTTAACTGTGCCAGGGAAGAATGTGAAAGTCATGCTGAACTTTCTCGGGCTCCATTCTTCCCCAGAAGAGAATTGTTTCATGTATGTACCCACCCACATCCATTAGTAACTTCCCTTTCCTGATTTCTCCCATATTTCATGTACCCACCCACATCCATTAGTAACTTCCCTTTCCTGATTTCTCCCATTTGCTATTAAAACTTCTAGCACTAGCCAGGTCAGCCACACCAGAAAACCGGTTGTCTCCTCTCTAAGTTCCCCTTCTGCTAGCTTCATTTGGAATTCATTTGTCTTAAAATATTCTATCCTTAAGCAATGGCAATATTTTTATTGGCCTTTTCCAACTCTCCCCTATGTGGTTATTAGTGTCCAAACCCTAAAATACCAACAGAACAGGCAGGAAATAACAGCTTATTCTGCTTTCAAACAAGTAAAAATGTTGGAATTTCTGCAGAGCTCTGGATTTTCTTTTAGGGACTATCTAAATTATGCCTTCCATTTAGAGCCAGTGAGGAAGGCTGGACGTGGCTTCCCACACTTCTAAAGTCAGCTTCCTTGGTGAGCGAAAAGGGGGAGAGATCTACCCCGAGTGACAAGCCCTTTAATTAAGGAAGACTATCTAGAGATTCTTTGTCGCCTACTGAGATAGAATGGTGGGAGGGCTGAAGAACTGAGGCACAGAAGGAAAGCAGAGGAGACGCTCCCCAGCTGAGGTTCACGCCTAGCCCTGTTGGCCAAATAAGGTTCCCCAGCCAGCAGTTTCCGTGGCAGGCGGGTTCAGACGTCCTCGGGTCAAGGAGGAGGAGGACCTGGGATA